GCTTTCTGAAACCGTTCTTAGCCAGACTCGAACCACGTCGTTGTGGTCAACACCTCTCTGCATCTCAAGTCTGACGATGTAAGGCGAGCTAACTGGACCGCCCCGTATTGTTCATTTTAAAGATAAAATGCAGCTATATGCACTGTACCTCAGGCTACATAATTTGCGATCTCCAGAAATGTACATAGGGCAACGTTTTTAGAATGAGCCTATATTGGATGAGACTGGACAAAAATATGGAGTTATCAATGGAAATGTTCTAAATCACAGAAATGAAGGGCGTCCGATTGAAAGAGTTTAGTAAGGTATTTTATCACACCCTCCCAGAAATCACATCATGCTGGAAATGTGTCTATATGCTGCAAAAAATGTAGAAATCAAAATATGAATCACTTTCACGTTTTCTGGAACTGCTCTGCTATTAAAAACTATTAGAAAGAAATTAAATAATCAATGCCTTACAAAATTTTGTTAAATCAGTAATGCCCTTTGATTGTACTATTTTATTTTTTGGATGTAGGTCAAAAATGGACAAACCAGCCTGATCTTATCAGGGAACATAGCTATTTTACGTTTTGTCACTTTAGTGGCTAATTCCTATTTTGCTGAATAAATTGGCGGTTCATTCCACTGTGGCGACCCCTGATTAATAAAGGGACTAAGCCGAAAAGAAAATTTATAAATGAATGTAGCATTCAAACATTGTAAAACCTCTAATGCATTTACTGTTCACTAGGCTCAAATGAATGCATATTTTAAACAGATGTACCACTTTCACTCAATTAAAGAAAATCTTCTCGACTGTTGAACAATAGATCACAGTTTTTATTATTATTTATTCATTTTTGCAATCTATATCCCCAAATTTCACTGATTTATTTAGTTTTTGACTAAAATAGAGCAACTTACAACATTTTTAGTGCTGTGTACAAATTGAAACACACATCAAAAGTAATCCTGTCTGGCTTGTGTTATCTGCTGCTGTTTTGCGCTGGTGTCTCTCTGCATTGTGAGTGAAGTAAGTGTTGAAGGAATGATGCAAGACAGAAATGATGACAGAATATACTTCTTTACCTCTCTACAGGTGCTCCAGCAGCCTGTCTTTAAATCATCTCCATATTTCCCTGAGTGTTGTTTATAGAGGTAAAAAAAATTTAAAATCAGCAGCACGCAGTAGCTGTCAGATGAAGTAGCATTTGAGACCATAATAAATAATCCAACCCATGCATCCATTTCCTAGAATAACTATCTTTAGAGGTAGATATCTCTTAAACATGACTCTATTAAGCACAAAGAGCTAATTGAATTTCTCGATTCACGATTAGATTCTCTGTTGCAGCTTTTTTGACAATACATCAGCAGATTTTGAGTTTATGTGTGTTTGGGATGTGCAATGCGGTATCTCTGGGTGTTAATGCAGTGATTTAGACCTCTGTGGAGGCACCAGGACCTCAGTAAATATTAGTCTGGCCCACACACATCAGTACTGCGGCAGAAAGTTAAACACTCTTCCTATATACAGTAACACCTCCTCTACTGCTGAACATGTGGGCAACTTCCTGAGCTCGTCCTCAAGAGGCTTACTCATGTACAGTATATCTGTAGTTACTCAGGTAAAATGTGCAAAAGATTGTATCATTAGCTTGTCCCTTAAGCAGGAACTGTACATCCTTGAGCTTAATCAAAAATCGATATTTAAGTGTTAGTTGAAACTCAAAATGAAAATGATGACCTTTATTCATCTTCAAAACACAAACTAAGATATTTTATATTTATATTTATAATTAATGTTCTCAACTCGCAGCAATACAACTTTACAAGTGCAATTGCTTGTATTCAATACTTTATTGTTATTATAAATTTCCATTTTCCAAATCTGCAATGCCTGTATTTTGGCTTTTTTTTTTGTGATCCACTTAGAATCCAATTTGGAAATAATTTTTTTCTTTATTGGCATTGATTTTTTTTTTTATTCAATTAGCAATAACATGAATGTGTTTTAATTTCTGTAATAAATATTGCTGTCAAGACAGGATCTTGGTGGTTTATTGTGGGTATGTTGTTTACATGAAGAAAGCTGTGTTACAAGGTAAACAAAAATTCTAATAAACAATAATATTTTTAATTTAAATAGTTTTTGTCTTGCGTTTACATAAATTTTGCATTTGAATAGCCAAAATTACAAGTTTCAGTCTTTTAAATGCGATTAATCACGATTAATAAACAGATTAATTAGTTAATTATTTTAATCGATTGACAGCACTAATATACTTTATATATATATATATATATATATATATATATATATATATATATATATATATATATATTTTTTTTTTTTTTTTTATATATATATAATTCTCTTATGAAGACTAAATAAAATAATGGCAAAAGTTTGTAGTTTGCTGTGGTTTGACAGCACTGAGGCAAACAATCTCTCAGCAGCCATCAAAAATGTTCATCAGTTTCACAAAGTAAAAGCCTCAAAACAAGAGAATCATCCCAAAGCATTTGAATAAGCCTTCGAGATAATCCGCCCATTCTCACCGCTGCAGAGAGTGAGGATTGTTAGAAGTGTCTTTAATTGCAGTGGTTATATTCAACACACAGTGCTAAATGGAGGGATGGAAGTAGGAGGATCAATTCACACCTTCTGCAGTCGGTAATTTTCAGACGAGGCCAATTATGATATTATTAGAGAGCCTTACTGTGAAAATGGACCCTGATTAAACATTCCTCACTTTCTGCTTTTGGCTTGAAAATTTGACCTTGACATTTCCCCTGTGTGCCTGTATATATTATTAATATAAGCATATATATTTACATATACAGAGCTTGGCATAAATGAGTACAGATCTCTCTTTTAAATTTATTTTTTTACATGCTTTACAATAATAGTTTTTGTGCATATACATTAGTCAGATTCAACGCCAAAACGGGAATTAATCACTGTCCAAAAATGAGCATACCCAAATTAATATGTTGGGAAAAATATTAAATATAATTTTAAAGGGCCATGAAACCCCCTCGTTTCAGCAGGGTGTTTTCACACCTCTACTTTGGAAAAAGTCAGAAAAGTGGGCGTGTCCAGCTCTGTTTAGGGGTAGTGTCGGAGGAATTAAAGTGGGAGGGTGTGGGAGTGTCTATTTGGGCACGCGCGAGTTTCAGAGTCAAAATACACAGACAGGAGAAAGTGATGGTGTTTAACCTACATGGACATCTGTAGTCGAATTATTTGCCAAAATATTAAATGGTGGACTTTAACTGCAGTTTGGCTCTTTCATTCAGGGAATTCATTCATGTCCCTCGCGACAAACGAGATATTTGATTCGAGGAACTGCTCTAAGCATGTATTTTTCATGCAATGTTTGATACCGCACAGCGAATGAGAGAAAAAAACCTCCGCATTTCCCGGAAACTTAGATGCACACGGCAGGTAGCGTCAGAAAGCCGTGTGTGTTATTCCGGTCACTAAATGCGGTAAAAACCCTACACGAGGTTAAAGTTTGGTTGTGATGCTAACGTGTTTACACTCGGTGACTCGGTGCAATAGTTAACTTAGTTCGATACGAGCAAACTGAATAAACAAAGAGTACTGGTCGCTCACTTACCAAATCTGTAGAGACAGGACAATAACCAGTAACTAGCGTCTTTATGAAGAGAATACTACAAGCGAATCCAGATCTCAGCGTTTGGAGATGAGAACAGCTCTCAGGTAAACAATAATCCTCCTTAGACACTTAAGTTATTGTTGTCGAGCGTCGCGTACACTGTTAATCCACACGTGACGCCAGCTGCGCTCTCACAGAGAGAAAATGAAAACAAAACTTAACGGCAGCAAACTATAAAAGCAACACTTCACACTTGTTTTGCCATCACAACGTGGCGTCTCTGTCGTGAAAACACTGTGACACTAATGAATATTAATGAAGTTGCACAATAGAGCGCTGATTGGTTTGAACCAAGCTTTACTCATGCATTAATGCATCACACTGTAAGACGTAATAAGACTCACTCTGGCACAGACACCCAGTCTGCACGCTGGAATACAACGCTGTCATGACCGTGACGCAGCTTTAAAAATTCGTTTCAAAAGGAAGTACGAATTTGCTTGAAATAACGCAAAAACAATCAATTTACACTTTTTAGTGAAATATAGATGTCCTAATAGTGTTTATAGCAGTGTGGGACACATATACGACTGTCAACAGCTCAAAAAATGTGTTTTGGTGTTTTGTGACCCTACAGAAAAAAACTATTGTTTTTAACTTGTTTGAATTTAAATGTATTATCTTAAGATGTTAGGTGACCAAACTCTTATTTTAATGGAAATAATTTGTTTTCTTTAAAATAAATGCACCATATAATGCACCATATAATGCACCAAATAAATGCACCAATAATTATTGGATATATTCAATGAAAAATTGATCAAAATATATAGTCATTTTCAAAAGGGAGTGTACTTTTTTTATGGCAAAGAATATGTTAGTTTGATTACTTTTAACATGAAATAAATTTAAGAGGCTAAGAAAAATGCTCATTGTAGAATAAAATTCCAGATGGCACATGGGGGTTGTTGCATCTGAACTTATATTTAACACTTTATAGATCTCGTAAAAAGGCTGCATTTGTTTATTTGATGAAAAATACAGTAAAAACTGTAATACAATCAATGTAATTTTATTAAATCAAACTAATTCTAAAGTATATTTTGAAATGCATTTTATTTCTTAGTTGCGAAGCTTTATTTTCGGCATCATTACTCCCTTCATATTATCAAAAACACACAATGATTTGATGATCAAGAACCATTTTTATTCTTATTGCCATGTTGAAATGAACAATAGTTGTACTTTTAATACAGTTAAACTTTATACTTAAAATGCAGTAACTTGACTCAAATGACCAAAAAAGAAATATTCAAAACAAAATTGCTCCATATAAGATTTAATGTCATTGAAATACAGTGAATATATGACATTTATTTGCTTTCTTACCTCTACAGTGAGATATTTGTAGAATTCCTTGCGACTTCTTAAATCAGGCATTTTCCCTATTGACGTTGATGCCTAAAAGAAAAGAAAAGATTCAATGGGGGGGAAATAAGACTCAGAAACCACTGGGTGGCACTAGTGATCTTCTTTTGAAGGCTTTACCTGCTGTGCTCACGTAGTAACATTTCAGATGTTTTCTCAAAGTACACATCACAGCAAAATTAACCTTGCCAAATTCTTTAAATAAGACGTTGAAGAAAACCGTACAAGCTCAGAAACTTATATAAACCTTTATGCTTTCTAAAAGTTTATAAAAGCACTCTTTCATTTTGTGAGTTGCCGCCAAGGTCACCATTTCATTCATTCATTCATTTTCCTTTGACTTAGTCCCTTATTTATTATTCCACAGTGGAATGAACCGCCAACTATTTCAGCATATGTTTTACGCAGCGGATGGCCTTCCAGCTGTGACCAAGTACTTGGAAACACCCATACACACTCGCATTCACACACACTCACTCATACACTACGGTCAATTTTGTTTACCCAATTCACCTATAGCGCATGTGTTTAGACTGTGGGGGAAACCGGAGCATCCGGAAGAAACCCACGCCAGCATGGGCACTGCAGAACATGCAAACTGGCCCAAACGGGACTCAAACCAGCGATGTTCTTGCTGTGAGGTGACAGTGCTAACCACTAAGCCACTGTGCCACCCTGTTACCATTTCAACAGAGTAAATGTTAAGAATATCATTACTGTACTTGTAGAAAACAGTATATAAAAATAAATCAATCAATAAATAAATAAGAGAATCGATGAAGTGACAATCAGACTTTCAGAATCAGAATTTATTGACATGCTTCAGAATACCACTGCAAAAGCCTTTTGATCTTATTTGTTTATTCATTATTTATTAATTTGTTTTAGTAATTGTTTAAATGCTGCATTCCTCTCTGAAATCAAACTAATGCTTATTTACTTTTTAAACATCATGCCCATTTAACTACACAATTGCATTTGATCAACAATAAGAAATCAAACTAAACACTTTTACTGATTTCTCAAATGCAGCAATTTGGATTTAACAATTATAAATCCAGTGTCCTGACATCAGATTATGCTACCAACACTGTATTTGAATGGTTCTGAGGTTGGGGTTAGGAAGTAGGTAGGTTAGGGCGATATTACAGCTTCATATCACACTACTCCACATTTAAAATTTGCACTGGTAGTAAAATATGATGGGTAGCACATTGCATCATCAAAATGTGCTTCCTACTTTTTGAATGGGAGGTAGGACAATCTGACAAGGAACACCAGTGTCTTTAGAAAGTATAGAGCTATCCTTGATAACAATTTGGTATTTTATACCAAACATGACCAGCAGAGGAGAGCATAGTCTTATGTATTGATTAATGAAAGTGTGAACATGACTCTAAGTCATATTTGGACACATAAGGCATTATATATATATAAAGGACTAAAACTAAAGGGTTAGTCTGCCATAACAGAATTCTCCTTTATAACTCACAATTCTGACTTAAAAACCTACAATTGTGACTTTATAACTCGGAATTCTGACTTTATAACTCAGAATTGTGACTTTGTAACTCGGAATTGCGACTTTATAACTGCCAATTCTGGCTTTATAACAAAATTCAGACTTAATAACTCAGAATTGCGACTTTATAACTGGCAATTCCGACTTTATAACTCAAAATTCTGACTTAATAACTCAGAATTGTGACTTTATATCTCGCAATTCTGAGTTTATAACTCGTAATTCTGACTTTATAACTCGTAATTGCGCCTTAATAACTCACAATTGCGACTTTATAGCTCAGAATTCTAACTTAATAACTCAGAATTGCAACTTTGAAACTCAGAATTCTGATTTTATAACTCGAAATTCTGACTTAATAACTCAGAATTGCAACTTTATAATTCAGAATTCTGACTTTATAACTCGCAATACTGAGTTTATACCTTGCAATTCTGACTTTATAACAGAATTCTGACTTAACTCAGAATTGCGACTTTGAAACTCTAACTCTCAATACTATATATATATATATATATATATATATATATATATTTTTTTTTCTTTTTTTTTTTTCCTTTACATTTTTTCTGTTGGTTTAAAACAACAATGTATATTTAGAAAATACAGTTTTTGGAAACTGTGAAACCTTAGCCATGTACATAGTTAATGTGATGAACTAAACCCACAGCTTCTCTGCTAGACACAAATGTGTACTTAAGGAAAACTAAAAAACAATCACATTCAGACAAACTACTTAATAGTAAAAAAAAATAAATGCTAGGGCTTTAGAGGTTAGTTTTAACAAAATGCTTTTCTACAATTTGTTTTTACATGCATTTTATATTTCTTACAGTGACATTCAAACACTTTAAAAGATATTTCAACTAGAATTAAAATCTTACTGTTTGTACAAAACACAAAGGGTACTTTTGATTACCCACTGTTCTTTAAGAGTAAAAGTAATAAAGGGAGCTTAAGTACTGTATTAGTCCCTCTAAAACAAAGCATACAAAACCCAGTCCACTAATAATTACTCTAATAACAATTAGCTTGCCTATAAAGTCAATCCAAGACCCGTGAAGAGAGGATGCCAAACCATCGAGGACTTCGAAGACAACACATACACTTACACTTCATTGAACATGTACACATAGATATCACCTATAGCCTATTATATATATATATATATATATATATATATATATATATATATATATATATATATAACTTTAACTGTGTATAATAACTTAAAGCTATAGTAACTACTTAATTAAAGTTATTAAACTAATAACCTTATTTTTTTCCGAATTTGATTATAATGTAATAATGTGCACCTTTTGCAAAAGCTGCTTTCAGTAATTATTGTGACAACCGCTATACAAATAAACTTGAATTGTATAGTGTGACTACTGTTTGCTATTCATATTTGTGAGAAAACAAAGTAAATAAAATCACAAAATAGCACATTATAATTCTATGCATATTTTGTGTGAGAGGACCGGCTGCGCAGTGCTGTGCTCTCTGTAAAGCCAGATGAAATGATGCAGTGACAGTGAAGCTGAGTCCTACCTTTGCCAATTTGACTTTATAACGGCATCAGAAAGGACCCTGCAGGAGGAGGGAGACACGTTTAGCCCATTATTATCCGCTTCCCGCGCTCACGCTTGTCTGTGTCACAAAACTTTTAAAGTAAGCACCGTCTTTAGACTGTTTAAAGCGGCTAATGAGCATTACCTCAGTCATTGTCTGCTGCTGTAACTGCTCTGCGCATGCGCGTCTTCGGTTTCCTGTGCACTTCATAAAGAGTAATCCACTGACTGTCCACTTTACTCGAATTTAAGACACGCACACCTGTGGGGTCTCGTTTCTTAACGTACAAGAAACGCTGTTAGAAAACTGATCGCACTGAATGCATTTAAAAAAAGAAAGAAAACAAATTCAGCCGTTTACAGTTAAATAGACATTAATATAGATAGACAACCAATTTATTGTTCAAATGAGTTGTGGAAAGTTGTTTTTACTTGACAACTTAGTAGGCTACTAAAGGAAACGAGAAAACAGCTAAAATGCTTACCCTACTGAAAAAAAAAACAGCTTAAACCAGCCTAGGCTGGTTGGCTGGTTTTAGATGTTTTTTGGCCATTTCCAGGCTGGTTTCCAGCCATTTCCAGCCTGGTCTTAGCTGGTCAGGCTGGGGGATGACCAGCTAAACATCTTGTGGGGCTGTTTTGCTGCAGGAGGGACTGGTCCACTTCACACTTCACAACATAGATGGCATCATGAAGAAAGAACATTATGTAGAAATACTGAAGCAACATCTCAAGACATCAGCCAGGAAATTAAAACTTGGTCACAAATGGCTCTTCCAAACAGACCATGACCCTAAGCATACTGCCAAATTAGTTCAAATGTGCTTTAAGGACAACAGTGTGAATGTTTTGAAGTGGCCATCACAAAGCCCTGATCTCAATCCTATAGAAAATATGTGGGAGTTGAAAAGCTTGAGGAAGGATACACAAAACATTTGACCAAAGTTATACAGTTTAAAAGCAAAGCTAAAAAAAATGAAAAAAAAAATGTATGTAAACTTTTGACTGTCTAGAAATCATCAAAAAATTATCAAATATATATATATATATATATATACATACATACAGTTGAAGTCAGAATTATTAGCCCCCCTTTGATTTATTTATTTTTTTTAATATTTCCCAAATTATGTTTAACAGAGCAAAGAAATTTTTACAGTACGTCTGATAATATTTTTTCTTCTAGAGAAAGTCTTATTTGTTTCATTTTGGCTAAAATAAAAGCTGTTTTTATTTTTTTAAAAGCCATTTTAATATCAAAATTATTAGCCCTTTTAAGCTAGATTTTTTGTCGATAGTCTACAGAACAAACCATTGTTGTACTATAACTTGCCTAATGACCATATCCTGCCTAGTTAACCTAATTAACCTAGTTAAGCCTTTAAATGTCACTTTAAGCTGTATAGAAGTGTCTTGAAAAATATCTAGTCAAATATTACTGTTATCATGGCAAAGATAAAATAAATCAGTTATTAGAGATGAGTTATTAAAACTATTATGATTAGAAATGTGTTAAAAAAATATTCTCTCCGTAAACAAAAATTGGGGGAAAATTAAACAGGGGGCTAATAATTCAGGGGGGCTAATAATTCTAACTTCAACTAAATATAATATATATATATATATATATATTATTCTGCCATGACTGCATGTAAATTTCTGGTTTTAACTGTACATGCAGAACTCTTTTTTTCTATATCTTTTCGTGTATCCTTGTGAACCGAATTGTCATTAAGTTGTTAGCCAGGCTGTAGCCTATTACTGTATTCTGCACATTATAGGCTATTGTATTTTAGCCTACTATGGTCTTTTATTGAACTGTATTGTACTGCATTTTATTTATTTTATTTTATTTTATTGAACTGTACTGCATTTTATTGCAATGTATTGTTTTGCATTATGTCTTGAACACTGGATGCCAGAGCAACACCAAACATTTCATGTAGCCTGTATGAACATGTAATGTTGTCGTGTGCATAGCACAAATACGTTCTTGAGGAACTGAATAATAAAAATAATGATCAGTCCACAGTGCATTCCTCAAGAGCACGTTCGACCGTCTATATTCGTGATATTATTAATAATAATGCCAGACTGGAGGAATGTGCAGCTTGAACGCATGCGCGTTAGTACGCAAGCCCCTCATCCGAAAAATCTGATGTCATCTTGCCGGCAATATTAGCCTCTCTTGTGTCTGTATACTGACTTGCAATCATATCTCACTGTAATAGAAAGATCGCTTGTAAATGCTGAAGGGTCTATGTTGCATGTGTCGTTTGATTGTGTGCGCGCTCCCGTCATGCATCTCAATGGAGCGAGCAGCAGCTGATCTAGACGGCTCGTTTTGCTGGATGAAGGTGGACGCTTAGGACACAACAGGTTATTGGCGATTTAAAGGAGAGAAAGACGATGTCTTCGAGAGAAAGACTGAAAGAGAAGATGATTAAAGAGAGCGTGACTCTGCTGCCATGCTTTTATTTCGTAGAGGTAAGAGACCGTGTTTACATTCGCTCGTTTCATTTGACAGGTGACAACTTACAGTCAGAATGAAGGAGCATTCTGCTTTAATGCACGAATAAATATGTAATTGATAAATCAATAAATGTTACCTTTAAATATTTGACTATGTATCAAATAGATCCTGAATTGAAATGTTGCTCGCATTCTCATTCAGGTTATCTTTGATGCTCTGGTCAGAGATAACCCAAGGAGAAATTTAACTGAATCAGTTGTTGAGTTCACAGTGGAATCAATCAACAACAAAATATTTTAATTGTAAATAGTTAAGATTTTTTTTCACTAATAAAATTTTATATATCAAATTTATAATTTAGTATTTTAATTATTAATATTTTTTATTTGACAAAAAATTATATATATATATATATATATATATATATATATATATTTTTTTTTTTTTTTTTTTTTTTTTTGTAAAATAAAAAATATAAATAAACATATAAATAAACATACACACACACACATACATACATGTATATATTAAGTTGAAGTCACAATTTTTACCCCCCCACCCATGTTTTTTCCCCCCTATTTCTGTTTAACGGATATAATATTTTTTTCAACACATTTCTAAACATAATTTTTTTATTAACTCCATTCTAATAACTGATTTATTTAATCTTTGCCATGATGACAGTAAATTATATTTGACTAGATATTTTTCAAGACACTTCTATAAAGCTTAAAGTGACATTTAAAGGCTTAACTAATAAGGTTAACTATGCAGCATAGGGTGATTAGGCAAGTTATTGTATAATGATAGTTTGTTCTGTAGACTATCAAAAATATAAATACTGTAGCTTAAAGGGGCTAATAATTTTGACCTTAAAAAGTTTTTTTTTTTTAAATTAAAAGCTGCTTTTATTCTAGCCGAAATAAAACAAATACAACTTTCTCCAGAAGAAAAAATATTATCAGACATACTGTGAAGTTTCCTTGCTCTGTTACACATCATTTGGGAAATATAAAAAAAAAAAGGTGGGCTAATAATTCTGACTATATATATATATATATATATATATATATATATATATATATATATATATATATATATATATATATATATATATATATATACAGACACACACACAAATGATTAAACAATTAATTGATTTTTTAAAAGAAAAATTCACAATTTATAAACATTTATGATTAATAAATTTATGATTTTCTTAATTATACTCAAACTATATTAATTTTATTGAAATTATGTTATTAAATGTAATTAAAATATTGCTAAAGTTTAAAAATGAAATATACTTTAAAATATATAAACTTTTAATTTACCAACTCATTTAAAACATTAAATATTTGAAAGTGTACAATTAAAAATATTTAGAATTTTAACTAATACTCTATAATATACACTACCATATATTTTGTTGTCATTAAATATACAATTTAATATAAAAGTGATTGTTTTATTTATAGCTTCTTGTACTTTAGCACCTTAATATCTTAATTTAATAAAGCTTTGGCTTTTTAAAAGAGTCAAACATTGTTTTTACGTTTCATTGCAAATTAATAAGCACTTAATATGCTAAAAGTAATCGCTGTGGGGATTGTAGAAACAGCTGATTTGTTAAACACTTTAATAGATCGTCTTTGCCATCAGGCTAATTATTCAGCGTAGTTCACCTCCACATACCGTACAGCACATATTCACATATTCCATATAAAATAGCATCAGTTCAATATGTACAAACTGGCGTAGAGTGATGTCAGCAGTGGGATGCTGTGCTTCTGTCAGCTTCTTCTCAGATGTTTGCCCCAGGAGGTGCAGCTTGGTTCTCCATGACTCACGATGGGGTTTAGTCACTGGAATATACAGTATGTAGGTCAGTGTGACATAAAGAATTAAGGCAGCGCAGCTTCATACAGCACATGCATACATACACACCGACACACGTGATCAAGTACTTAAGAAGAAGATCTAAGCGTGCGCTCATACATTATGCAGGGTTGTGCTGAATTGGACTTTTTCATTCATTTATTCATTCCTTCGTTTGCTGTTTTGCAAAATTGTTTGTCGGATAGCAAAAAATGAAAGTCTGCGAGATCGGGATTACCATATATGAAGGTTTTAATGGGATGAGATGCTGGATTTAGTGTTTCTCCAGAAGTTTTCTCAGGTCACAGAAAGCTTCATCTCAATGAGATAAAGCGCTTGTGCTCTTATCGTAACGGCTCTTTTACCAACCGGACACCATCTGTACCTGCTGTGATGGTGCCTGTCCCAGATAGATCTGAAAATAGCCAAGGAGAAATGCTATCCACCATTTTTTTTGTGATAAATTATTAAGACCTCAGTGTCACCTTTTCATTTCATTTGGGGTCTTCTAAAATCCAGCAAGAAATGACGTTCACAAATGGCATTTGCTTGTTTTTTTTGTTTTTGTTTTTTTTTGTGGTTGGAAATGGAAAGACAATGGAAAAACATATACAAGAATTAATTTGATGTTTTTTTTTTTATTGAATTACCTGAAATCACCTTATATACTCCATATTTGAGTTCACCAGCATGGACCATGCCGCATTTTTAGGCACTATCATACGCACGGCGCAAAAAGACGCAAGACATGTTTGGCGCAAGTTGTTGCTACTTTCAGACCAGCGCAACTGTGATTTTCACGTTTTGTGCCATGTTGTTTAAATAGCAAATCAATTTGCACCACTTTGTGGACTCATGGGTGTGCCAGTCTAAAAATGAGGTGTGTTGAGGCGGAATCTTGGCACGTTGCCATTTTGAAGAATAGAAATAGACAACATCATTGAGCAACTACACGCTGGTCTAAAGTCCATCGAAGAGTGTGTTAGTTCTGCGCTTATGCAGGCCACGCGCTTACACATTGCTTAATTCAAACAGGATGTAGAGCAATATACAAAAATCTTTTCATATAAAAAAAAGGATTAAGATGTTACAAAAATTCTTATTTTCCACATATATATATATAAAAACCACTGCCTCCATGCCTCATCTCAGGGGACTTTTTTTGTTTTTGTCATGACAGTTTGCATTAATGCTGTTATTATTAGCAGTATTATTTATTATATGGCAATTTATATTTGTTTTAATAAAAACAAGTTTAGATTTGTCCACCTGTCGGGTTTTGGATATGTATGCATCCCCATATGGGGCATAAAAATAAGGCGTTTGTTTGAAAAGTTTTATTATTGTTCATTTATTCGTTTGCTGAAAATTAGAACTGAATTTAGAAATAGTTTTGAAACAAATATTTGCGGTTAACGGATGAAATTGAATTATGTAGGCTAATGGATGTCTTCAGTGGAATGCGTACAACATTGTTTCCTTATCCACGAACGTAAAAGAGTAAAAAGTAAAGTAAAGTAAAAAGAAAGTGAAGAGGCAGAATGGAGGAGGCTCATTCTTTATCCTCACACTGCAGATGGTCTGTTAAACTGCTTTCTCGCAAGTGAAGCATTTAGTATTCCTCTTACAAAGTCCGCCATGTAAATAGCAAATGCGCCATGGCGTGACACAACTGACTCTTAAAGGGAATGGAAGTTGAGACTCTGATTGGTTTAATGCACATTATGCTCAAAACACACCCATAACTAGGGCCAGATGGAATCTGCAGACGTTTTCTGCTATTTCTGCAGAGATTTTTGGTAAAAGTGTGAATTTCTGTGGAATTATTTTGGGAGTATCATAACGAAAACCTTAATATGTGAAAAAAATGTGATCTTTTAAACTTTTATTTAATGTTTAAATGCAAATCCAATTAGATCTACATTATTTGGTAAACAAAGCAAGTCGCCCATATAATATATCAACTAAAAGACAGAAAATATGACTTTACAAACTGCATTGCACATAAATCAGATAAACATTTTCATATTAGTCAATAATATTACTGTAATTAATTTAAAAACTGAACAATTATAGATTTACACACATTTACACAAGTAAATAAACAGAATTAATGATGGGCTAAAAATCTGCAGAAATCTGTGGAAAATCTGCGGAATTCTGCGTGCACAGATTCCATGTCGGCCTACCCATAACTCATTAAGAGAATAAGCACAACCCTGTTAGACCATGCGCCGGGGCGCAGAGCAAATTTTTCCATCCTTAAAATAGCAAAAATGGATTCGGAAATGCCCTTAATGCTTTTGCATCATGTGCTTTAGATTTTGCGCCTAGATCGTTAAAATAGAGTCCTTAAGGCTAATTTGTACTTCTGCGTCAAGTGAACAACTTGAATTGGTTTAAAAATTCTTAAATCAATTAAAAATATTGTTTTATTTTATACTTAAAACAAATATAAGTAAAAATTAAGAGTTGTCCAGTATTCTTTATGACAGATGTGTTTATTTTGGGATTATCTACCAATAAGTCATCACTTATTAAAAACTTCAATTAAACCCAAGTTATTAAGCCCTAAATTTAAATGTATTCATGGTCCTTGACAGTCCATTTGACTGTCCCAATATGGCTGATGCATGGCTTAAACATACAGTAGCAAATGAGGCATCTGCTGAATGTACAATTTCTACAGTACACTAATCTGAAAATACCTTAAATGAGCATGTTCCCTCAGTATTCTTTCCGTATTCTGACTTTCTAATTGTCTTGTTAATTAAGCAGTAATTAATGACGAGTTCTTTACAGTAGAGTGATCGGGTCAGTTTGTGGGCATTTGATATGCAGATGGACACAGCAAGCAGCTGCCGTTCTGTGCTGATTCTGCAGAGCTGCACAGATACCACTGACCCATATTTCCTTCCAAAGCACTTGCACTTGGGAAAAACGAGGTTTACAGATCAGTCGACCGTCAAAAGTGAAACCTTGACACATAATGGAGCCTATTTACTTTTAAAATGACAGTAGATCTTAGCTTTTAAAGGCACACTCAGTAATATGAACATTTTCCCAGATGCTTCAAAGAATGTTTAGATCCAGATAATTCAGCAATTTTTAACTAGTGAGATGGAGCTTGTCCTGTGTGTCCATGCTAATGACATTAAGTCTGAAAAATAAACCATTAAAAGTGCTGATGATCACCAATGTTATGATTGAAAGTGTTGTATTGGCGTCTTTCGGGTTGCATTTTAGCTATAATGTGCTTTTTAAATAAATAAGAAACAAAGCTGCTGCTTGCCATTGCGACAGAAATAAGATCTAATGGATGGCCGATCACTTTCACTCCAAAATGGTGTAATCGCTGGGCACTGCTGTTGCAATGGAACGTTCTATTGACTGCCGCCTTTTGGTGATTCGAAGCTCTGTTGCCCAGCCCTCTGGGCATTTACACCTACCTAACTTTCAATAGTAACAGTTCCTGATTCCAGTAAGCTTCAAACACAAATTAGATATCATTGGAAAGAAGACACTTTGAGCTTCACTGTGATTTATTTTAATGTAATGTCCTACAAAAAAAAAATATGCCTTGAACGCCAAAATTTTTATGAGTTTATATTTCAAGTTTAATTAAGATAGCATGCAAATTGAGATTTGGGTAAAAGGTTTTCTGAGACTATATCAGTGTCCTTATTTCCTCACCGTTTTCTCAAAAATGACCTTCCTAAACTAAAACATTAACAGTTGCTTAATGATTTGGTCTACATTCACAGTTCATGTATCTTTGGAAAGAAGACACTCTGGGCTTTATTATCCATCATGTAGAGTTTATAATGCTCTAAATGAAAAAATGCTCAAGTAATGTAAAAAAAAATGCACCGCACTAAACATTTTGTTATTTCATAAACAAATATATAAAATTTGTCCTGAAGCAATACAGAAAAGTAGTAGGTCAAAAACCACAAATCTCCTGAGTATATGTTTGAATTTAATGCCAATATTATGTTATTATGCTTTATTATGCTAAATAAAATTTCTGAAATTTTGTTCTGAGACAAAGTCTTGTGATTTTCTTCCGCTCCTTTTCTGTTGAGAAACTATCTGATTAAAAAGGCTTGTATAATGTAAAACAAAATAAGTAAAAACATAATTAACTTATACACTTATACATTGTATACAAAAGGCCCATGATTTCAACAGTAAAAAATCTGTAACCTGTTTAATAGTTACGTTTCCTTAATATAAGTTTCCATATGGTGACACAGTGGTTAGCACTCACAGCCTCGTCGTCTCACAGCAAAAAGGTTGCTGGTTCAAGTCTCAGCTGGGTCAGTTGGCAATTCTGTGTGGAGTTTGCATGTTCTCCTCATGTTGGCGTGGGTTTCCTCTGGGTGCTCCAGTTTCCCCCCACAGTCTAAAGACATGCACTATAGGGGAATTTGGGAATATAGGGGTACGTAAGGCAAGACAAGTATATTTATATAGCAAATTTTATACACAGTGGCAATTCAAAGTGCTTTACATAAACAGGAATAAAAGTAAGAAGAAAGTTTAAGAAAATAAAACTGATAATAAAAATGTTTAAAAAAAACCAGATAAAAATGTGTTAAAATAGTTTATAAAATAATGAAAAAGAAGAGAAAAACATAATAGTGCAGACGTAGCAAAGTGCTCATTCAGTAAAGGCACAGCTAAACAGATGTGTTTTCAGTCTTGATTTGAATGTGCCTAATGTTGGAGCACATCTGATCATTTCTGGAAGCTGATTCCAGCAGCGAGGGGCGCTGTTAGTAGCTGAAAGCCGATTCACCCTGCTTTGACTGAACTCTTGGAATATCTAGTTTATATGATCCTAAAGATCTAAGTCAGGGGTCTCAAACTCGCGGCCCGTGGGCCATTTGCGGCCCTCAGTGCAATATTTTGTGGCCCGTGCCGACCGCTGTACTCTGACAGAATCAGCGGAGCGGGGAGAGAGAGCGCTCCCCGCTCCGCTGATTCTATCCGTACACAGCGCGCTTGTCACTCAATGCGCGTTGTCGCGCGCGTTCTGATCAGCTGTGTTGTCGCGCGTGTACTCAAGAGCGGTGTTATCGCGCGCCTACTGAAGGGCGGGACCGAGGGTGTGTCGCGTCGCGGGGGCACTTTTGATCATTTTGGAAGGGCACTTTCTATGCAAGACTACAAAGGGCATGTGCTCTGCACAGGTTGAGCCCTATGTGTGCACGTGCCTGCCCTGCATCTTATCTGATCTCACGAGAAAACGTAAGTATTTTACGTTTTGCCAGTTTAGTGGCTAATTCGTACAAATTCGTACGAGTTCAGTCGTACGAAATGGTACGATTTTTAAAAGGAGGCGTGGCACCTAACCCCACCCCTAACCCCAACCGTCATTGGGGGATAAGCAAATCGTACTAAATTGTACGAATTAGATCGTACGAATTCATACGAATTAGCCACTAAATGAAAAAGTTACGAATTGCCGTGAGATTGTGTTGATATTATAGGTAGATACAAACTGGTACAGACTGATGTGACTGGAGTGGGGTGGGGGTGTTTTATTTATACATATATACGCCTTTTTTTTAGGTGAGGGAATGAAAGTTTTGAGTGAGTTCCCCCACTTTTTTCCCTAGGACTTCAATAAGTCAAAGTACAGGTCTAGACTTAATGATGATCATCTTCAAGCCATACTGAGGGTCTCAACTGCTTCCACTCTAAAGCCAAATGTGGTTCAGATTTGTGAGAAGAAGCGCTGTCAAGTCTCTGGCAGCAAGAAGTACGCAAAAGATGCCTTGTTCAGAAGAACTGTTCATAATCTTCACTCAATGTTCTATTAATGTTCAGGACACTTCATGTTCAGAAGAAATAATTAAAACTGTTAATAATGACATTTGAGGACTTTTTTTTGTGAAATCCCTTATGCGGCCCAGCCCCACCCAGACTTTGCCTCCTGCGGCCCCCAGGTAAATTGAGTTTGAGACCCCTGATCTAAGTGATCTGTTGGGTTTGTATTCAGTGAGCACATCTGTAATGTATTGAGGTCCTAGGCCATTTAGTGATTTATAGACAAGTAATAATACTTGAAAATCGAAATGTAACTGGGAGCCAGTGTAAAGATCTGAGCATAGACATAAAGTGCTCTGATTTCCTGGTTCTGGTCAAAATCCTGGCCCATAGATATATACACAAGATGTCGCCTGGCCTAATGTTGTCTATTGGACGGAATGCGTCAATACCGCCACCATCTTGCTACAGGGTAGTGCTCCTTTGAAATGAATGCGGGACCAAGGTACAGTGGAGGAATGTGGCCATCCAAAGCCAGAGATATACACATATACACATATATCTATGATCGGGAGTTTTCCTGGATGTTAGTATGTAATTTTTTTTTTTCTAATTACGAAAATTATAATTTTACATCACTTTTCTACATTGATGGATCAGCAGCATTCTGGATGAGCTGCAACTGTCTGACTGTATTTTTTGGAAGGCTGGTGAGAAGGCCATTACAGTAATCCACCCTGCTGCTGATAAAAGCAAGAACAAGTTTCATATTAATAAGCCTGGTTTGATTAGTTTACAGGCCTTCAGATACCCATAAACAACAACCCAATTGTATGGCTTTCATATATCCAGTAAATTACTTATTTTGTAAGTACTATGAGTGTATTTTGCAATAATGTCTCTATGGCTGTATCAATTTTCCACTGGGACATGTTATGTGTGTGATATGTGTTGGAGTGATGTGATGTTTTGTTTTTTTTTCTCTCTCTTTCTCTCGAACAGCTTCCACTCCTGGTGTCGTCTGTGGTCAGTGTTTATTTTCTCGAGTGGACGGACATTTTCAAACCAGTCCGCTGGGGTTTCAGTTGCCACGACCGCAGTTTGAGTTTGCCTTATATTGACCCAACGCATGAGGTCATTCCCTTCCTTATGCTCCTCAGCCTGGCTTTCGCAGCTCCTGCTATTACGGTCAGTCTAAACTAATACTGCTTTTAAGATTTACTCATGCTTTCAAACTGAACATATATGGGCCAAAGTCAAAATATAAACCGTTTTGGAGTCTGTTTTAAATAAAATTGAATCTGCTTTAATGCTCCAGTTACCTCAGTGCTCAACATATGAGTACACCCCTCACAAATTTATCATTTAAATTAATATTTTCTATTGGAAGCTAAAGCTGAAGCCAAAGCTGAAGCTTATCTAACAAAATAACTTATGATAAAGAAATTGGTACACCCAAATTTGGTAGTTTATACTTTTCCTCCCCATTATTTTGTATGAATTTAAATGTTTTATCTTTCTGTTTTTAAATATGCTTGGTGACTAAAATATGACCCAAATTCACTGAGAAATAGATTAAAAAAATAATAATTCCAAATGGTGTGTACTCAATTATCTTGAGCACTGTAAATGTGTATATAGTATAATTGTTTTATATACTATAGCAATACACTTTTAACAATATTTTTACTATATAATCTATACCAGTGGTTCTCAAACATTTTTCATCAAGTACCACTTCAGAAAAAAATAATAAGTACCATAATAATGACGAGACAGATTAAGTTCTATTATTAAGGATATGTATTATTAATAGCCACTTTAAACATTATAAATAGTTTGAACATAAACACTGTACTGTGCTTATAGGTAAAAAAATAATAAATAAAATAAAAAAAATAAATAAAGCCAACCTTTAAAATGTGCTTTTAAAATGTTCATAAAGTAAAAAGAAAACTGCAGTACTAACAAATTGTAACCTATTAATCAAAACCTAGAAATGTTGCTTGGATCTCATAAATATCGGCTATATGTTATCATATTCATATATAAACCATTTTTTGATAAATTATCAAATATGTTGCATTTGCACATGACAAATTTGTATATCTTTGAAATCTAAACATTCATTTGTATTTAAAAATAAATGATTTGGAATTACATGTTTAAATTAGAAATAAGCTCTGCTTCCTGCGCATCCTTTACACTACGCGTGTCAGAAAAGCAAGTGATTATATGCGTAAATACACTGTTTGACCAATTCATACGTGATTTATACATTCATATATGTGGAATGTCCGTGATTTGAGATCTCATCACACTCACACTCATTGAAAGTGTGTTCTTATTTTTTTCTTTCATTATTCAGTCTTTCTCTGCGTACCACTAGAAGGAAGCCCGCGTACCACGAGTTGTACACGTATAACAGTTCAAGAACCACTGATCTATACGGAATGACTTTTTAGTGGGTGTTTTCTGTAAATCATGGTAATAATGTTTTGATCAGAATACAAAAATAATCATTTATGATATTAAGAATTGTTTTTCAGCAATAAAAACTTGATTTAGGAATGATTTATGAAGGATTATGTTACAATAGTAATGACATTTGGCCATCAGAGGAATACATTACATTTGATAATATATTCAAATAGTACATTCATTCATTTATTTTATTTTCGCCTTAGTCCCTTTATTAATTAGGAGTTGCCACAGTGGAATGAACCACCAACTTATCCAGCATATGTTTTACACTGCGGATGGGAAACCCAAAACTGGGAAACATAAACACTCATAAACACTCATCCAATTTAGCTTATTGAATTCACCTATGCCACAACAAACCAGCGACCTTCTTGCTGTAAGGTGATCGTGCTACCCACTGCGCCATCGTGACGCCCTTCATAGTACATCATTATTTTAAACCCAAAAATATATCAATTTTGGATCAGATGTGAATATGAGGCTTTGTCAAACTCAAACTTTTGATCAATAGTGTATCTATATATTAATTAATTCATTTTCCTTCAGCTTAGTCCCTTATTTATATGGGGTCGCCAGAGCGGAATGAACCACCAACTATTCCGGCATATGTTTTAAGCAGCATTCGCCCTTCCAGCCGCAACTCAGTACTAAGAAACAGCCATACTGTAAACTTTCACATTCACACACACTCATACACTACGTCCAATTTAGTTCACCCAATTCACCTATAGCGCATGTCTTTGGACTGTGGGGGAAACCGGAGCACCTAGAGGAAACCCACAAGAATACAGGGAGAACATGCAAACTCCACAGAGAAACACGCAAACTCCACAGAGAAATGCCAACTGGCCCAGCCGGAACTTGAACCAGCAACCTTCTCACCGTGAAGAGACAGCGCTAACCACTGAGCCGCCGTGCCACCTGCATTTATTTATTAATCTAAATAATTAACAATGAAGTCTCAGTCTCTGAGAATTAAAGTATAAAATAAAAAAAAACATCTGAAATTCGCATCAGAAAGTCATTTCTCGCAAATTTCTTTGATCATTTCACAGACAGACAACAAAGATAAAAGCAGAAACTGCTCATAAATATGTATTTGCTGCTAAATGCATCAAAAACTTTGAACATGCTTTGCAGCTCTAAATCAAATGACGGGAGTGCTGTTCTAGGATCAGCTAGATACTGTAGGACGTGAATGCAGAAGCTTGTCCTGCTTCATTATGCTTATACACTTAGCCTGTGGTCTATTATCCCAGCTGACACACGCCAACTGGCCTCCCCTTCAGATCCTCATCTCAAACACTAGAGAAAAGCACGAGTAGCTCAAAAACACGCTCAGTATGTTTACATGGACATCATTAGCCTTATTTACTATATTCTTAATGAGATGATGTTATGATTAATGCTTACATGAGTTTTACATGTTAGATTCGTTTACTCCCCGCGCAACACCATACGACGATCCCTTCAAAATTTCACATATAAATATACTTTTGTCTTCTCTGTGATATAATTTGCAGTTTTGGGTGTCTCCTAATTTACCAAAGTGCATTTAATAGGGGTGTGACGAGACACTTACTCCACGAGATAAGACGAGACATGAGATTGGGTTCATGAGAACGAGACGAGATTTTTTACAGTATTTTTAAGAAATCTTTAATGATGAAATATATGAATGAAAAAGATTTTATTCAACTGAAAAAAAACAACAACACCTAAAAAAAAATCAGAAAATGCAAGACTATTATGGTGCTTTTTTAAAATCGACTTGTAATGAATATTATTTTACTATTATTTTAGTGAATTCTATGCTGTAAAGAACATGCAAACACTGTGAAATATTTAGCGAAGATATGAATAGAAAAAAGTGTTTATATATCATTTAAAATGCCCCCATGAAAAACTTTGAGCTACTGGATGCGAGTATGAAGTCAGGACTGACAGGAGAGAGTAGTTTTGAGTTTGATACCGCATGCCAAGTGAAAGCAAACATAATTTATCCAGACGCATGTTTGTCCGCTGATGATGTTGATAATAATGACTGGTCTGTTGAGTCTCCAGGAGTTTACTATTTGTGTGCTCACTTGGGGTGTCTGGGATCCTCTACTGACTCTAGGTGCAGAGAATAGTGTCAAACAGTCTTATTTGTATGGCTTATCCTATCGCAAAATGTGGCGAACGTTCATAGTTTGATTACGGCATCTACATGTCTGTACTGCACTTCAATAATGCAACTAAAATATGAATATTCATGTCTTAATTTGTGTTCATGATGCTTATGACTTAAAGCATACTTCATACTCGCATCCAGTAGCTCAAAGTTTGTCATGGGGGCATTTTAAATGATATATAAACACTTTTTTCTATTCATATCTTCGCTAAATATTTCACAGTGTTTGCATGTTCTTTACAGCATAGAATTCACTAAAATAAAAGTAAAATAATATTCATTACAAGTCGATATATATATATAGGTAATTTAATTTGTGTAGCAGCAGTTGCCTCTGCTTTTGGATGCGTAAACCTTTGAATGCCAAGGAAAAACACGGTTATGTCACACCCACTCAAGCAAACGAATGACACACAACACAGAGGCAGCCTAGGTTGCCAGGTGTGTGCAAAGAACTTAATGTGCAGTACAGATCCAATCCTGCCCTCAATCTTCAGTGCTAAATTCACCCTCATTCTCCATTACAGCATCACAACTCACGAGACAAGTTTTCACCTCGACGAGAAATCTCATCACGATTTAATCTCGCAAGATCTTGTAGGATGAGATCTTGTCACAACCCTAGCATTTAATTATTTATCATGCAAATAGATGATGATCCCCTTCTGTTTTGCTGTCAAACTGTTGACCAATGGTGAATCCCAACTGTTAATCGTTAACTGGGAAGCTTCTGGTTTGTAAAAATCTTTTAGTGTTGCGTTTGGGATGACACAAACGCAACACGAGTCATGTACATTTTAGTGTGTCATTTGGGATCCAACTAATTATTAGCTGAACTGTCCCTTTAATTAGATTTCTGCTTATTTCAAGTATGACTATAGGATTTTTACTGAAAGGTAATCAGACATGTGTTTACAATACATGGTCGATTCTGCATCAGAGTATTGTTTTAATAATGTTAATATCGGAATATTGGCATCTATGTAAACATACTGTACAAGCTCTTTCCTCACACTTCTCCAAGAGCAATGAGCTGTCAGAAAACATCTTTTTCTCCTCAATGTGATGACACATTTGGTTCAACGCAACCGTCTGCCAGCTCTCTGAGGTGCTCCAATGACACACCGAATTTGCTTTTCTCTTCTACCGTGCTACGTTTCCTCGGGTTAACTGAGTGCTGTTTCACAGCAGGCTTTACTGTGGATTTATGGTAGTTTTGGTGGTTCACTCATACATGAAGTCGGATTATTTTACACTCAAATTCACGTCGAGTTCCCAGGGCAGATTATGCTGTTGTCTTGGAAATGACAGGATGGTTTAATGGTTTTGCGAGTGCTAATGGGCTCTCGGCAGGAATAAGTTCGTTATAGTTCAGTCAGATGATAGTTGTTTGGAAGAAAAAACATACTGTATATAAAAAATACTCATAAACATTTCCCATGCCATATTTTACTTTTTAGCATTTTTTAGATGATTTTGATCTTTTGGGACAGTAAAGAAAACAAAAATAAAAAAGAAAGTAGTGATTTCT